GCTGACGGGATACTTTTATATCATAGAGGTTGTATTCTAGAAATACCAGTAAAATTAGAAAAATTGTATAGTTTATAAGGAATCATACAAAAATACTGTTTTGATTTTAATGAGATGAAAATTTGTTTTGTGTCTTTTAATTTCATACTACGATGAGCCTACCGTGAAAATAGGGCTTTGTACAATATTTGCGATCCTGTTATTCTTTAGGGCTAGATGTTTAATTAATCATGAATAAAGTTAAAATATTTTTAAAATAACTCCAATTTCTTTCAATTTTAAAATGAGGGCAATGCTTATTCCCCGAAATAACCATGCTATATACAATTTCATTGATATGCCATGGTTATAGTGCATATAATGTAGTCAAGACTAAGTGTATAAAAATAATGCTCTAGGGGATTCAGAGGGAGTGTACATGTAGAAACTCATCTTTCTCGGGATTTTTGTTTTAAAAATGATAAACTGAATAAAGAAGAAGCACACTCAAACATCTCCTATGCCAAGTCAAATCCAAAAACCCCAAGCTTCCATGCCTTAAAAGTTACTGGATTATGCCATGATGTAGATTTGATTTGTCATTAAAAACTGGTCATTAGGATTCCTTTTTGTTCTTAATATTTTGAACATGACATTTTTGTGTTTATATGCAACATTTCTATCCTTTCTACAGAATTAGGATATTTTAAAGAAATATAAAATAACATGAACAAAGAAAATATTGTGAGGCTTCTATTACATTCAAGAAGAGAGTGTGGATAAACAAAACTTGATATCTGATGTCAATTCGTTTTTGGTCCAAAGTAAAATTTGAATTCATTGGAGTGATACATTTTCTGAAATGATTGACACTAACAATCTTTCAAGAGATCAAATAAAAAGGATACGCATTTCACCTCATTTTTCTATAAAATTGAGTTGGAAAATATATTTTGGAAAAATATTGCAATAATTTCTGGCCGGTACGGATCTGAATATACGGACTGTCAAACAGAGAATGTCATATGAAACATTCAATCGTGATGTTAATGTAAAGCCACTTTGAAGGCTCTATTATTCTTCAGCTATCTAAAAAACAATTTTATTGCACAAAATCTTTCATATTTGAAAAAATCATCAGAGTCAAAATGCGAAACCAAACTTCTAGTAGTGTATAGCTACCACACTACTTCATTCATACAACCGAACAACTATCGCAACGTTTGAACGCATGAATAAGATTTTTATAATTATTACTTGTATGTACATCTTCCACCCTAATAAACAAAGTATCTATAAAAATAACTATGGCGTTTTATTTTTATACTGACTTCATTAGCTTGAAAATCAGCGCGCCCTAGCGGGTTCACTTGATACCCTTGCTGATAAGTATTTTTTTATTATCTATTTATTATTGATTTTTCTTTTTTGCATGCTTTTCATTATTATTATTGTTTAGTGTTGATTTATCTTTCACAATGGTAAATTGATTGTCACTTTTATAAATTCTGATATGCCTCTCTGGCCGGGATGGCTGAGTAGCTGAACTACAGCATAACTAGCCTGTCAACACTGAGGTAGTGAGTTAGAACCTTTACATCAATCTTATTGCACACGCAAATAACAGTAAGCTTAATGTTCTAAGATCGAAGACATGTAAGTGCACATTTCACTCAACAATTATTTTTACTAAAACTTTCATCATATTTACTAACATGTGGATTAACATGATAAACAATAGTCATATAGCAATATGTTTATTATTTCGTAATACGTATTTCTGTGAAGCAAAAAGCTAAAAATAATCGTTATTCTATTGTTCTTATTTCATTTCAGCTATCACATTTGGGACTGATTTTGATTCGCTTATATTTCAATTTTGAATAAATCTAAAATGTTTTTGTTTTTTTCTGTTTTGGAATCTAACGTTCAAATTTGCTCTGAGCATTGCATTAGATCTTATGTTCTTGCACTGTTAATACCAAGGGTTGCCTTTGGGTATATAAATATATATTCATTCCTTAGTAATCTTTCGACTAGCAGGTAAACCCTTGCAAAAGTGGGGCGTCCGTTTGCAGAGATGTTTAAATTTGCAGTCACGTCCGGTCAGAATGGGGACGTTAAATCCAATGCTTAGTGTAGAGAGAGAGTGCCATACTCTCTTCATGTTAAAGAGACCTTGCAGCAAATCTTTGAGGTGTTCGTAGACGACATATTGCAAGGATAAATATCTTTCCTAATCCAATATACAGGATACACTAATTTTCCAGAGGCGTTCCTAATTTCACAACCTTTTGTAGGATCTACCTATTGTATTAATTCCTCCTGATTATGCATCCTAAACCAATGAATCAATTTATCTTGCAATGTTCGTAACGTAACAAAGCAATACCTTAACTAAGACGTTCATTATTTTGTACATGATTTCGGCGTTAGTTTTCTCGTTTGAATTGTTTTACATTTGTCATTTCGGGGCCTTTTATAACTTACTATGCGGTATAGGTTTTGCTTGTTGTTGAAGGCCGTACGGTGACCTATAGTTGTAATTTCTGTGTCATTTGGTCTCTTGTGGAGAGTTGTCTCGTTGGCAATTATACCACATCTTCTTATTTTTATATTTACTATAATGTTGCAATTTTATTTATAAAAACAAAATGGCTTATAGTATACAAAAGCCAAGAAAATTTTCAGTATGCGGCAGTGTACAGTTTTCCTGTATAAATTAGGTAATTATTTTGCCATTTAAAGTTTATCCAATGGTGGCATAAGGCCTATATTCCAGCAGTAGAAAATCAGATCGAAAGTACAGCAGGCAATATAAGAAAGTAAGAATACATGTGTTTTATCTTTTATCAGCAAATGAAGTAATTATCTCCTACCATTGTTTGATACTGTATAACTCAGTACTGCTTTATTCGTGCCAAGGTATTCTTATGTCTGTTATGCGGATATTAAGCAATTTGCTTCTATCAGTATTTGATACAGAATTACTAAGAAATACAAGGATCATAGAATCAACATCCGTTCTCAAAATCTTTATATTTCAATGACAATATGTCATTGTAATCTAATAGTTGTCGTTGGTTGCTGTCCATCATAATATCAAATTGTTTAATTTTATTAGTTTAAATAAGTTTAATGCTAATTGTTTACATTTTGACTTATCCCCATCGATTTTTATAGCATACTAAATGGTATGGGTTTTCTTCATAGTTGAAAGCCGTATGGTGACCTGTGGTTGTTGATTTCATTGTCGTCTTTCGTCTCATAAGCAATTATATCACATCCAAGTTTCCAAAAATCCATTTTGGTGGAAATCTATCTATGTTTTGCCTAGCTCTTGTCTTAATTTTATGCAAATAGAGAGATCAGAATGGCAGAGTTGATATCTTTCTTTTGTCCTGCAGGTCTCAAAGCCAGTACAATATCAAGATTGAAAAAGAAACTGCAATTTAATAACACTATAATAACTTTTTTGTTTCAGTTTATTGATACAAATAGGAAACTGTAATTTATGTTAGTAACATTTCTCTTAATTCATATTTGCTGTTTTAAAAATGAATATCGATTATGATCCTATCAAATCATCATATTTTAAGAACATTTGACCGAGAAAAGATGAATATCGAACAAGCTGCAGGCAACTGGTTGTATTTCTAATGATGAATATCGGACCTCTTGCTAAATTCACATTCATATCGTGCGTGCTATCGGCTTAAAGTCAAGAAATTGCCTAACAAAGGTGCCTATTTGCATTATTCTTTTAAAAGTTAAATTCTGAAATAAATATTAAAAAAATACTACTGTTACCTATATTACATCGGTACTAGTACTTTTGCAATACTTTCAATTTAATGAACTTAGACCACTTAACATTAGGGAAAAACATATCTATACATAACATTTAACATGTTAACATCTTCTACTGTCGCTGAATCATAACTAAAAAATGAGTCAGTTTACAGAATATAGGAATGATTCTCCTCTTTCATTCGCAACAATCAACATATATCTTACTAAAATGAATCGAGACTTTCATTTTCAGAAAACAGTTCTCGGTGTCGTTTTCCATCGGGAGAGATCATTATAAGATGTTTAATACACGTCCAACTACGTAAACATTACCACTATGATCTGCACAAGTATCCCCCGGATTTTACAATTTTTAGATTTTTTTTTACTTCTCAAATATATAACCTTTATTCTTCAACAAACAAACTGAAATGAGCGAAGACGAATTAATCATGTTAATTTTAAAGATTGATTTATCTAAAAATCTATACTTTTTTCACCAAAAACATATTTATTTATAATAGTAAACGTCTCCTTCAGTCATTAACATACACTTGGGAACTGTGTCAATTTACAGAGAATAAAAATGCCTTTCTTGTGTAATTCGAAACAAGCAACATATTTCTTTCTTTACTAAAATGAATCGACCATGGTTCGTAGAGACCATCATTTACAGATAACAGTTCTCGGTGTCGTAATCCATCGATAGAAATGAGTATGACATTGTTTGATTTACGTCCTACTACGTAAACATTACCATTATTATCTACAGAGATGCCTCCTGGTGTCCGCAAAACGCTTATATTTTTGAATGTCCATTCTTTTTTACCTTTTAGATCATAACATGTAACGGTGTTCATGTTCGGGTTTGTATGATAAAGTTTGTCGCCCAATGTTGTAACGTAGCAGTAACTCGACTTTTCACCTCTGACTATATCGCTAATGGTCTTGTCATTTGGATTGATCATTCGAATTCCTTGATGCTGCCCAGAATAAATTAATTTGGATCCATTATATGTACATCCATATATAAACCCCTCTAAAGAAATACTTTCCTTGACGTTTTGATTTTGCATGTCAATAATATAAATACACTTCGAAACAGACACACCAGATGATACAGCCAAAGTATTGTTTTCAGTACTGTACGTTACATCAAAGGATGGTGATGGTAAATTTACTTTAAAATTCAGTGATCCATTTGCGTTCAGAACGGTTACAGTACTTACGCCATAGAAATGACTGCTGCAAAATACCATCCTTCCATCTGGTAGCAGATATGTACCTACAGTGTTTTTGTCTTCTTTGGTGTTAATGGTCCACTGTAACTTTAGATTGATATTTTCAAACGATATTGATGGTACTTTTGTCACCATCATTTGAGCTTGTTTTTGCTTGTTCGTGGTAAGCTCAATGTCGGATGGTTTACTTTCAACCATGATCGTTCCAAAATTTGGAATACCGGATATGAGATTTTGAATGGCAGTGTTGATATTAAATGACAGAACCATCTGCCTCAAATTATCGTTACTGGATATTGAAATAAGGTATTCATTTTTGCCAGAGACTTCCGTTTCAATTCGTTTCATCGACAAAAAAGTCTGAAGATCCGACGCATGCTGTTTGATATCTGAAATGCTCCCCTGCAATAACGAAATCTCATGTTGTTTTTCCTCTAAAGAATTCAACAGTTGACGGATATTTTTACTCTCCTTCTCTTCCGCAGCATATAGCTCCTTTATTATATTTGAATGTATTTTGTTGATATGATTATTGATTGCTGTTCTGGTCTTTTGGATTTCCTTCTCAATCTGCTTCCGAGACTCAGGTAAAGTTTTCAAGTTGTTTTGTCGGTCCTCTCGAATTTTTTCAATATTTTCAGCGACTTCCTTCAATGTCTGTTCGATATCATAGAATGCATTTGACGACTTGACGTTATTAATGACGTCTTCTAATTTCGAAATTTGTTGGCAATTGTTGTGACTTTCTACAATACAGTTCCTACAACAAGGACATTCATGCAGCTTGCAGTAAATGCTGAATTTTTCATTGTGCTTGTCGCAGAACTGACTAATCTTTACTACATCACTAGGCAATTTATGATATTCGGAAATTGGTATAATAGTATGATTTCGAGTTCCTTTAGATAAACTGTGGTGTTCCTGACAATCTGCGCAAAGTCCTTCATCACATTCAGTACACCAGACCGCAGAAAGTTTGGAAATATGACGGAGATCACACACACCGCAATTTAAAGATGAAGTCGCCATAACAAGATAGATATTTTGTTACTCTGAAAATAAAATATTATAGTAGGAGGCAGTCATAAGAAATTATCCCTTTAATCTTTATACTGTAACTCTTTTTCTTTTTCAAATTCAACATCTGATGTATAGTTTTCTTACGTAGTTTTATTTTGTAGTGTAGCCAATGTTTAAGACAGTAAGATTTTGAAAGACGGACCTGTGATATAACTTATTTCGTGATAGTCAAATAAACTGTCCATAAAAAAGACAAAATCTGTCTAATTATTATTTCTTGTTATGTATAATTGTTTTTGAACAGCAGCTGTGGGACGCATTTAAAGGTTTTCTATAACAACTATTTTTATCTTTATTCATATGCATTTTATTAGATAAAGATGATAAGTTTTTTTAACATTTTTGGAATTATAATGTTAGATTGCTCCTTTGTATCTTCTGTCACTTTTTGATAAGAGTGTAAGTCTTTTTCTAGGAATTGTCCCTCTCAAATTCTGAAAAAGATAGCGTCCAAAATTTTGAAAAAGGCCATTTAGCATTGGGAAGACATAGTTTCACTCCCATGTGTAAACGTTCTGACAATCAAGAGATATGTTGTTGTCTTTAAACAAAAAGCTAGAAGAAACGGCTACTTTCGTAATATATCAGAATCTGGCAAAAACATTCCTATGAGTCAAAATCTTTTCAGTCCAAAACGTGAGTAATAAAATTCTATGTAAATACCCATATTCAAATTCCAGCATTTTCTCAATAATTCTGAACTGTAGAGTTTTTGTTGTCCTAAAATCAATACATATCAGATAATATTGCAGTTGGACTTAAAACGCAATTCCTGGAATATTGAAACTGTGTTTAAGTCAACAACTTTCAGAAAAATTAAATATTTCATTGTATAGAATATATAACCTAACAATATAAATCTTGAAGATGTGGAATGATTACCAATGAGACAACTATACACCAAAGTTCAAATGAAGTGGATGTAAGCAATTAAAGGCAACCATACGGCCTTCAACAACTAGAAACCCCATACCGTATAGTCGGCTAAAAAAGGCCCCGACATGAAAAATATGAAACAATTCGTTTGAAAAAACTAACGGCCCAATTTATAAATGTTATAACAAAACAATTTTCGAAAACAAATATGACAGACACGAACCTACGACAACCACTGAACTACAGGCTCCTGACTTGATATATGCACATAAAAAATGTGACGGGGTTAACATGTTAGTGAGTGCTCAACCCTCCCCTAAGTACAGATCTGAGAGTACTCGCAGTTACTGACAACTAGTTATAAAACAACTAATAAAAAAATCTTGTATCTAATACTATAAAATATCAATCAGTACACGCCCAACATCAAATGGATTTAGTGTAAAGACGTCATTAACAGTCAGAGAAAACCATGACATTGTGCAATGCCAAAATATAGGTATCGACAGATTGTAGTACCGCGAAAGAAGTACATATGTGTAATATCTAGTACGGTTTTAATGTACTGACAACAAAATCAATATATTAATACCAATAAAAACAATATTCAAAGATCTAATTACAGTGTTGAATATGTAACCTTTTAGTATAAGTGTATTTAAAGGATTGGTAAGTTTACCCTGATCGTCTATCTATCTGTTTGTGGAAATTGCGATAGTTTATACTTTTTGTATGAAAAATGGAAAGTCTGTAGAATAAGAGCAACATGAGACTGAAACTACTCAAAACGATCAAGAAAAATCAAAGTTTTTCGCAAACAAATGTATTATGTGAATGGGATAAGAAAAGAAAATAGATTTTATTGAAATGTTTAGATAAGTCACATTTCATCTTTGGAAACTCGCTTACATCATTTTTTTGTTATGCATGTATGCATGGCTTTGGATCAGCAGCATATCAAAAACATACAATATAATAATGTGTTCAGCGGGTTTTTGTTTTTGTTTTTGAATATTTTAAGTATATTCATCGATTCATCATTTGCTAAAATGTGATCGCAGTTTTATCTATTTACGTCTAAGCATCATCTGGCGGCAAAAACAGTTCTAAGAAGTAAGCAGAAATTAAAAGTTGAAAAACAACACAAATGAAATTGATTTTGGTAATTATTTGGTTGGTGTCCAATGGCAAATATTTCATTCAATATTTGTCTTGTGTAATGTTTTGTTATTGGTGTTTGTCTTTTTTTTTATTTTCTTTGCGGCTTTGTTATTCTTTGTTTTTTTTGGAATTATGATTTTGGATTGTACACTAGGTAACTAGGTAATTTTTTTACACTTTTTGGCAAACAAAAAAATATATCAATTGCTAGGCAAATTGTGCTAGATTGGTTGACCAGAATGAAATGGATAGTTATAGATTGCATTTACAGACGCCTTTTTTAATTTGCTGATTTCACCTTGCAACAACAGACATTAGGTAAGGTTGAAATAGAGCTAAAGAAGAACAATAATTCACAAGAGTGACAAAATAAAAACACAAAAGGATTAAATCATCACTGAAAATTAGAATCAATTTGATGTGAATCGGAAACGGGGAGATATATGATTGTGGTGACGATCATATCTTAAGTATCTGAAACTATTTAATCAGATGTTTGTATTCTTAAAACATGCTATTGAAACCACAGTCGTAAATGCAGCATATGTTTTAAAGCAAATTTGACTTGTCCGTGATATAGCATAAAATAGTCTATAAATCTATCTTTTGGTCCAAAAATATTTAAAAGGTTTGTATATTATCATATTTAGAATGTTTCAAACGGGGGAGATACTGGATATGTCTCAGCTTCTCACCCCAACCACAAAAGGAAAAAATTGCCACACTGCGAAATCAAAGAGCTAGTATGTGTAGAATGGCTGACCTTACAGGTTACCATAAACAATTGAGTAACATGGGCACCGCCACTTTATGAAGATTAATATGGTATTCAGAATTTAGAGTATGGCTAATCCTGATTGGCCGTTGTGTGCAGCTGTTGATTTTTTTATTACTGACAACTCCTTGCACTCTGTATTTCGCAATAGGTAAATAATATATTTTCCGCTAAAGGAACTAAGCAATCTTTGCTATGCTGCTGTGTCGAGACACGTATTTTTAAGTGCATATTTGAAAGACAAGGGAGATAAGAAAAAAAAAACACGTTACGAAAAGCCACGGGAACCTTTATTTTGTAACTAAAAAACAAAAACTGCCCTTATATTTTTTTCATTAATTCTACCAGGGTTTCGTTCTAAAATTAACTTTCTATACTGTCTGTATCTCAAAAAAAAACTATTGTCGCCTACGAAAAAATCAATTGTTCTTTGCGATCTGTATGCAATTAAAGAGTTGTTCTCTTTTTGTCACTGTCGTTTCCTTGATGTATATTTACTTAACTTATGTATCTTATTATTTGATTAAAGACAGATCGATTAAGTATAAAGCATTTGTACAAATAGTTTTAGATTCATTAATCTTACCTTATAAATACAGGTATTTCATTGTACGGCAACCAGGAAAGTAAATGTACAACTGATCACATGACTCTATGGTAGTTCACTATATTTACAAAAATAGTTAAAAATGGCGGTTTATTTAAATGTGTTGTATTGAATTGAATAATAAGGTCATCTAAATACCTTATTCGATAATGGTTTGACAAAAGATTTTAAGTTAAATCGAGTGACTGGCATATTCCCATCAAAATTGTGTCTAAACTTTGCAAGAGTATTAGTAAAGGAGAATTCCATCATACAGAACACAAACTTTAAATTATTAATTTTTCCATCTCGATTAAATTGATAACTAATTTTTCCAAGAATGTATGTATATAATTCTTTATTTGGCATTTTCAACTTTTTCGATTCAAACGTCACTGATGAGTCTTTTTTTGTAGACGAATAGCGCATCTGGCTTACAGAATTTAATCCTGGTATCTATAATAAGTAAAGATTTATCCCTTACAGACTTTTATGAAGTTTCAATCCATATATCAAATTTCATTGTCAAAAGAATAAATCAGCTTATTTTCATAACCTATATAAGTCAACTCGATAGTTTGTTTTTATTTTTTCGTAAATTAAAACCAGACAACATCCCCACAGTACTGTGTTAAATGGCCAGCAGCAGCTTTTGTGAATAAATGTAAGATTTCGGTTTCAATGCCTACCATTCTATACTTGAAATAACTAGTTTAAATGCGTCTTCGACAAAATTTGTGTGACGCCAGATAGGAAAATCATCATCCGAAGCATTAAGATGATAGGACTATTTACTGAAATTCAAATTTTAAACTTGTCTAAAGGGGTTATTACCTTGGATACAAAATGTACGAACTTTAAATCTAAAAAGGATTAGAGAACTAAAGATTTTTAACGGAGGAATCATAATTGTTAATCCAGACGTATAAAAGTGTTTAACACTTCATAAATAGTTAATACAGCCTGAGCATCAGCTTGGTCTCAAAATTTTATAAAATATAAGTTGTTGAACATTTACTTCATGCAGATATAAAACGGAGCATGCAAAGTTTCCTATACACATGTATCGAGGACACCGTCTCGTAATGAGAACTTGTGATGTTTTAGTCGTTGTTGAATAGTGTCACCACTATATTTTTAGTATAAGTCGTTACAATGAAGTTATTTTTGGAATTATAATCAATCGGCATTTGAGTTTGCTTACATTACACAGCATAGTTGTTTTGTTTTTCAGTTTGATAAACAAACACAAAATGCTTTCCAAAAGTATTAAATTCATTTTTCTTGTCCTGATACCGTTCTATTGCCTTCGAAATGTTTAGAACGAATAACAATTATTTTATAACGTATCTGACTGTTTAGTTCATTTGCTATGTTTGTTAGTTATTGTTTTTTTTTTGTTTTTTGTCTTTTTTAATTTTGATCTACACCGTTCAAAACAATATTCATTTTAACAATTTTGCCGAATCAATTATTATTTTGAACATTTTATTAAGGTACACACATACTAGCAAGAGCAGCAACCTGTTAAGATGTATTCATCCTGGTTTTTTTCTGAATATTCCTCGTAACCGTTAGAAATAAAAGAAATCAACAAAACTCTCCTTTTCAAAAAGAAAAACCTTTAGTTAACTCATTTTACAGATTTTTTCCAGAATTAAGCTTTTCGCATTTTGTTTATCTGTGTATTCTTTTATTTTTTTTATTGCCGTCCGAAGGTTCGTTTATAGACATACCTGTTAAGGAGTTAATATTTATTATTTTGACTAATAATTTTAAACCAAAAGATCAACAATTAAGATGTTTAGGGCAAGCATTCATCTGTCAACACGGGAAAGAAACACAAATTATATGATTGCGTGAACTGTTCTTTCGTTCTCTCTGTATGTTTCAATTTTAGTAACGTTGCCATATTGGTTGATTCACGAGATCATTTGATTTGATTTTCGATGCAATTCCGCAAGTGCATGACAGAGATTGGATTATCCGATAACAATCATCTATAGCTTCATCAGATGATTGTGCTTGAATGTGGTTCAGAGTTTGGATGCTCGTTTTTTTCACAATAAAAGTGAAAAATGGACGCAAAGTTACGAGAAAAATTGCACGTTCCTTTCACGAACTAGGTAAGGCTAAAGCGTTCTTCCTGGTGTTTTGTGTCCTTACTTGTATCTAAGTTTTCTGAACGAACACGACGAAGAATATTTAAGAAAATCTTGGAGTTCAGTATTTTTGTGATTTTACTTTGTTCTATTTTGCTATAGTTTAATGGTCTAGAAGTTAGACAAACGCCGCCGCCAGAAACAGCACGCGTAAGCCCGATTTTTCAACTTCGTCGAGGCTATACAAAATGGTTGATACATAGTATAGACGAAATTGATACCAGGAGACTTAGAAGTTATTTCAGTTTGTGACAGTGGTCAGTTTTCCTGTTTAAACTAATTATTTGGCGAGTAATAACTTTTGGTAACATAAAACAGATATTCCCATAGTAGAACATTTCCAATTTAATGTACAGCAGTCAATATTTTTATGTACGACTGCTTTCTAGCTATCGACATATCAGTATAATGTCTGATACGTTACTTAGTATTGCTTTATTGGGCATATTTGTTTTCTCATCTCTTGTTCTGATATTATTATACCATTTTTATAACATAAAGTCTATTGATTTTGTTTAACGTTTAAAATTATTTTGAACAGGGAAATTATCACCCAAAGAGCCAGTGTTAGCTTTTGTTATCACTTTGTGTCCGTCGTCGTCCTCCGTCGTTCTTTTTGGGTATTAAGGTGAGTACAACTTCGAATCTACAACAAGACCGATAACTAAAAGTAGGTTAATAACACTATAATGTTTGTTTCAATTTATTGATAAACTTCAAGTAGGAAAATGTAGTTTATGTTATTACAATTATTTTGATTCATATTTACTGTTACAATATATCAATTATGATCGTATTAAATCATCTTATTTTAAAAAAATTGAGAATGGAAATAGGAATGTGTCAAAGAAACAACAACCCGACCAAAGAGCTGAAAACAGCCCAACGCCACCAATGGGTCTTCAACACAGCGACAAAATCCCGCGCCCAAATGAAGATGGAAGTCACACTAAACTCCAAAACATATAAATGAACTAAAATTAAAAAACATACAAGACTTACAAAGGTCATAGGCTCCTGACTTGGGACAGGCGCAAACATGCGGCGGGGTTAAACATATTTTAAGTACATTTGACAGAGAAAAGGTGAATATCGAACAATCTGCAAGCAACCGGTTGCATTTCTATTAAAGATTATCGGACCGCCTGCTAAATTCACATTCATATCGTGCGCGCTTCAGCTTTTTTGCAATACTTTTAATGTAATGAACTCAGACCACTTAACATTTATATGATACTTCATGTGTGGCATGAGGGAAAACATATTAATGAGCTTCATCGGATAAAAATCGACATTATGCAAGTGCACGTATACATGTACATGTATAAGACTTTGATTGATTTTGGAGCATCAAAAATACGAAATAAAAGATGAATTTTGGTCTGTTTTGTAGTTCTTATGGCTACTCAATTTTTAAACAGTTACATACTTTGCCAAGAGATTTTTTTCAACCCGAAATAGGTTAACAGATGAATTGATATTCATTTGCATAAGGTCGATTTCTATCCGACGTAGCTCATTTATTTATAACATTTAACATGATAGCATCTTTTACAATCACTAAATCATAACTGAAAAATGTGTCAGTTTACAGAATATAGGAATGCTTCTCTTTTTTTATTCGCAACAATCAAAATATTTCTTTCCTTACTAAAATGAATCGACCATGGTTTGGAGAGGCCTTCATTTTCAGATAACAGTTCTCGTTGTCATTTTCCGTCGGTAAACATTATTATTACATTGTTTGACCCACGTCCTTCTACGTAAACATTACCATCATTATCTACAGAGATGCCTCCAGGTATCCGCAAAACGCTTTTATTTTCGAATGTCCATATTATTTTACCTTGTTGATCATAACATGTGACGGTGTTTTTTTCTGGATTTGAATGATAAAGTGTGTCGCCAAATGCTGTAACGTAGCAGTAAGCCGTCATCCTGCCTCCGACTATATCGCTTACGGTCTCATCATTTGGATTGATCATTCAAATACCTTGATGCCGCCCAGAATAAATTAACTCGGATCCATTATATGTTATCCCATATATATATCCCGTTACAGAAATACTTTCCTTGACTTTTTGGATTTGCATGTCAATAATGTAAATACATTGGGAACCAGAACCACCAGATGATACAGCCAAAGTATTGTTTTCTGTAATGTATGCTACATCAAAGAGTGGTATAGGTAATTTTACTTCAAAATTCAGTGATTCATTTGGGTTCAGCACGAACAGTACCGGTGCCAGAGAGACTCCTGGAAAATACCATCCTTCCATCACGTAGCAGATATGTACCTACAGTGTTTTTGTCTTCTTTGGTGTTAATGGTCTGCTGTAACTTCAGATTGATATTTTCAAACAATCTTGATGGCATATTTGTCATCATCATTTGAGCTTGTTTTTGCTTGTTCGTGGTAAGCTCAATATCGGATGGTATACTTTCAACCATGATCTTTCCAAAATTTGGGATATCGGAAATGAGATTTTGAATTGCGGTGTGGATATTAAATGACAGAACCATCTGCTTCAAATTCTCGTTACCGGATATTGATCTGAGGTATTTATCTTTGCCAGAGACCACCTTTTCAATTCGTTTCATTGACAACAAAGTCTGAAGATCCGACGCATGCTGTTTGATATCGGATATGAATCCCTGTAATATCGCAATCTCTCGTTGTTTTTCCTCTAAAGAATTTAACAGCTGCCGGATTTTCTGACTCTCCTTGTCTGCCGATGCATATAGCTCCTTTATTATATCTGCTTGTATTTTGTCGATATGATTATTGGTCGCTGTTCGGGTCTCTTGGATTTCAATCTGCTTTCGTGTCTCAGGAAATATCTCCATGTTGTTTTGTCGGTCTTTTCTGATTTTCGCAATATTTGCAGTTACTT